CTTCTGTCAAAATAGTTTATGCCTTTATTTTACACTCAAGATTATATAGTTCGATTGTTTATGATGCAGCCTCACTTAATATATAGATATGCCTCATAAATCCATCTGAATTTAATTGTTAGCACTGTATATTTATAAAAATGTGCAATGCATAATTCAATGTCGGCCATGTTGGACTATTACGTAGAGATTACGTAGTGAATGCAAGGGATAGTTCTTTATTTGATTGCGCATAAAAAGGAACACGTCACCCTAACTATTTTACTTTTCGATATTAGCGCATGATAGCTTATAAATATTTCTAAAAATCATTTGTTGAGGCTGTGACAAAAATTAATTTCGGTGCAAGGTTGAGTGCATTTCAGTTCTTACATAAACTCGTTTAAAATACTTTTCTAGCTACCATATATAGATCTAGATCTATATGATAATCAAAATTTATCGCTAAACGATCTACATGTAGCTTAAGTTGTTAAAAACCTAAAATGATTACGATGTTTTAATAAAGGTTTAGAAACGTTTTCATTTTGCGTGCGTTTTAGCGTGCGTATATCGTTTAGCGTATTTCGTTTAGCGTATATCGTTTTGCGTGCGTCTGCGTATTTCGTTTCGTTTTGCGTGCGTATAACTTGCGTTCGTATAGCGTGTAACGTGCGTTCGTATAGCGTGTAACGTGCGTTTTGCGTGTAAACTGACACGTTCACCCTACTGTAAATATGAAAACTTATTCAAACATGTACGCTTTCTTTGGTGAGTTTCTACATACATTTCCCGACCTTTCATGTAACTGAGTGGGTGGGGTACATAACACATTTTGATATTTCAGGTAAGAGTAAATAGTCAAATAATAAATAATCACTTTTTCACAAAAGTTTTTGAATAAAGGCACATTTGATTATAGAAAATTTCCTGAAATAGGTTAAAAGGAATGTTATTGTGGTAAAATTCAAGAACAAGAGGGTTATTGTAGACTTATTTTGCACATCGATCATATTGACAACTGTATATAACTTTTGGTGATTTCATCTTAAAAATGCAAATAAAAGAACAGGAAAAGGCACAATCAAAATTTAAATTTGATAGTGATGCCAAATCGTTAATATCTAGGGACTAAGTGATATATAGAATAGATTGCTTTATTCAAAATTGGATTTACTTAAAAAACAACAACAAAAAAAACAACAACAAAAACACTAATTACTGTCGTCTTTAATGCCATCAAACTGTCAGAGATCTACAATATTAATTTTGGATTGTGTGTTTATAAATAAAATTTTACTTTTTAGTTTTAAGATGTTTTGCGTTACGTAATTCACTTCTAATACAGAAAAAAACCCATCAAACTGGCAATTCACATGCATGGATAGTGAAGTTTGACTGCAGAATATAACTTGAGCAGTTGCAGTATTGGGTTAAAATGTTAGACTTAATATGAAGGCTTTTAACCTTGATGTTTCAAAGAACTGTTTTTTAATCATTTAATAAGCATATTGAAATGGGAGACCCCACAATGTGATAAACTGAGAAAAAAACAATACAATGTTGGTTGTGATGAACAAGGTGATGTCACTAATTAAATAAGGTACAAAGGGTTTTATGCAAAAAATAACCCGTCAACATTAGCCAATTGGTTTCTAAGAAGATCTCCCGTTTGAAGAAAACGTGAACACATTGAAAAATGATAAAAAAGTTTAATAACGTAAATAAAGAAATAACTGAATTATGAAGGAAAAGGGCCATTACACCAAAGCACAGTATACATATATAAAGAGAGAAGAGGGATTAAAAGAGAGCCAAATCTCCAGTTTTATGTCAACAGTCCAAAACCCTGTGACCAATGTATAAGTAATAATCTGGAAATTGTTGTAATGAAAATGTACTCATCAATTAAATTTGCCATCTGGTTTACTGAATTTTTAGTTTTGACCCAACTGACATCTATGTGTCTAGAGACAGTTTTATTTATTCGTTTCATACATTCATGTATATCTGAAAAGCAGGAATGAGAAAAGAGCTCAGGAATTAGGCATTAGTAACGCCTAATATGTGCAATATATGGCCATTACAAGCAGCACATTAATTAAACAGACATACATATCAACTTTGATGTAATGTGTGCAAAAAATGGCTGAAACTATTGGAATAACAGAATCTTATTTGAGATATTGTCCACTTTTCATAATAATTTTAAAGCTTCTTAAACGTTTGCAACGTGCCGTGTTCTATCTTACATTAAGTTATTGAAAGTATGAGGTATTTAAAACTTTACACTTGGTATATAAATTCAGAATATAAATGAGCCGTGTCACGACAAAACAACATAATGGGTTTCCGACCAGCATGGATCCAGACCAGCATGCGCATCCGCGCAGTCTGATCAGGATCCATGCTGTTCGATTACAAACCCTATAACAAGTAGTGAAACTGATAGCGAACAGCATGGATCCTGATCTGACTGCGCAGATGCGCAGGCTGGTCTGGATCCATGCTGGTTGCAAACTCATTATGTTGGTTTTGTCGTGACGCGGCGCAAATGTAGTAGTCTACGTTAAAAAAAATATTTATTGCTTTTATTTTATTTTTTTTTGTAAATTTTCTCTTCTGTAAAAACGATAATGATTCATTTATATTCTACAAGACAAGGTTCTAAAATTCATCGAAATTCGTGAATATTAAGCAATATTTCAACTAACTTTTATTTGTGTTTAATTTAATTTGACCAAGTTGAAGAAAAGTATTTCTACATTGAAAGTGAATTGCATTGGATCTCTGAAATGTTAATTTAGGTACATGTCATCATTGTACATCATCAATATGAAAAAGCAAAATTAAAATTGGTTGTTATAATTAAACTGCGCAAAATCAGTTGTTTACAGTATTTATAGCGTATTTAAGATTTTAAGTGTTAGACCCACTATATTTTAAATATGCTTTTCTATTTTGACCATGAAAAACTTGTGTTACTTACAGAATACGTAAACATCTTAAATGTATTTGATGTAATGACGCAAAATTAATGATATTAGCTTGTTATTTATGTCATATTTAAATCCTTTAAATTTACAACATTGTAAACAGTAATTACATTATTCCCCATCCACTCACATGCAGATGGTTAAATTGGACAATCACTGTAGGAAACATCATCAGAAATGCTTCAATCTATTTAATAAAAATGTCTGTTTAATGGTAGGATATACAAAAAGTACATAGGTGTTCATGTTTATGTAAAAAGTCAATAAAAAGAAAGAAAATGAGAAAGTACAAATAGATTATTTAACAAGAGCTGTCGGAGGACAGCGACGCTCCACAATTCGAAAGAGTTGTCACAAGGTTGTTTCGTTAAATATTATACTATTGCGTACCTATATGAATACATAAAATTGTCTGAAAAAAGTACAAAAAAAATACAAAAGCTTGTCATTTAGATGTTTTATCGAGTAAATTACTGCATGATTATTATGTATGCATATAATTGTCACAAAAACATGCACAAAGCCTGTCAAAAAGATGTTTTGTTGAGGGATTATTATTTTACATAAAATTGTCAAATAAGGGCTTTTTGTAAAATACATATGCCATCCACTCAAAAATTTATCCAAAATTTTGTAAATCGAAAAAGAGGTATTGATATGCAGAAAGCAAATCAGAGTTATGGGACTTGTGCCAATCACGTTCAGTGAAGTAAGAAAGTCACAGAAAACATGTGCGTGAAGTTCCAATCCATTCCCTCCAGTAGTTATGGAGATACCCTCCAGTAGTTATGGAGATACCAGCTTACGCGCGAAAACTTAACCAAGAATTTCCGAAAAAAGGGCATAAATATGCAAAAAAGCAAATCAGAGTTATGGGACTTGTGCCAATCATGTTAGACTATCATAGAGAAGAGAACAAGTGTATAAAATTTCAATCCATTCACTTCAGTAGTTATGGAGATACCAGCTTACACGTAAAAACTTAACTATAGGGACGCCGAAGCCAATAAATGGGTCTGCATTATCTAAAATATAGGTGTTTTCTTTAATTCAAACAATTTTCTCTTCAAAATATTTGCAATTCATGCGTATTATATTCCACAATTACTTCATTTGTTAAAAATAATAGAGCTAATAAAGCTGTTTCATAAACTAGTTTAATATAAAGTTATTTACAATTAATTTGCGATAAAGACATTATTTGATATTTTACCCCACCCACTCAGAAATACACATTGTTCTCAAAAATTACTATGTATTGAACACACTGTACGGCATTTTTCTTATATAAGAAGATTGTTTCCTGTTATATAAGACATAATAAAACAATTTACATTTTGTATATGTGAACTGCACGAAAAACATGGGAAAATGAACAGGACATCTTTAAATATTATCATTTTTTGTACCTTTTTTGTCACATGTTATCTGCTTTTTACCATAAACAACACTTTTGAATTAAAAATAAGTAATACAACTTCATTCCTGACATCAATTTGATACAAGAATGCAATAAAAGAACAAAAGCATCTGTTTTAACTGCTTAAAATTAAGCAATAATGACTAAGTGGTACTTTTCATATTTTGGCGGCCATCTTGGACGCCATCTTGGATTTCTCTGTTCGCCACCATTTATGCCAATTTATGCCGGCAGATTTGGAAACTACAAACATTTAGGAACATTTTGGTATACGACATGTCTTGTTAAAAAATGGGTCCGGGTAGCCCCTAAAAATAGGCTAGTTTTTTTGTATTTGTCACCCTACCATATAGGCCCCATTAATGCTTTACCAACAAGATAAGACATTCGGCAAATTAGACACTTGCATGTGCATTTTGGTCCGGAATGGTCATTTCATCACAAGTACTGGTGACATAAAATCGATACAAAATTGTTAGCATGTAACACCCGGAACACAGAATAAAATAAAGAATAGTCCTTTTCGTACTTTAACCGAGCATTACGCCTCATTATCTTTCACCCATTTAAAAAAAAACACCCAGTTACCTCCCTTAGCAGCTCTTTACATTCTAAGATAGATAAAGTTCTTAACCACGTCATTTGTCAAAGTAAAATTCTGTGCTGTTGTCAAACAAATTTAGAACATTTATTCTATTTTGTTCAGATAAATACGTTGACTGGTGACACCAAATGAACGTTTTTGAAGTACTCAAATGATGTAATGAAATAGAAATGCGTGAGAATCGTTGAAGTACGTTTGTCACTTTCGCAAATGTAAATCAAATTTTCTACCCACGCAAAACAAAAGAATAATTTTCAGAAGCTTAAACGTCTTGGAAAGATAAAAGGAATATCACGTCTTCTTGTTAAACGAGGTGAGAAAGTTTATAGATTGTTGTCAACACCTCTTTTTTAAGATTGTTGTCAACACCTCTTTTTTACTTTGTTCAATATCAGAATATTTTACATAATTTGAGTGAGACTTGTTGGGTAGGGGAAAGTCTAAATTTTACAAAACAGTTGCAGGTTATCACAGATATATATACAACCGATAGGAAACTCCGAAAAAGACGATAGTCAGATTCAGACCCACAAATCTTTGTGCACTTTGGTGATCGGGATTTCCCGCTAGTCTATGATTTTCACGCTGTTGTTAAACTTCTGCCATATCTGTGAATTATTGTTTACATTGCTGACATGGATTTTCATCGGAGAAATATTTGTATGGAAAAGTGTGTATTGTATGTTTCAGAATGAATAACTATTGATTCTTACATAAGTAGGAAATGATTCGTCTTTCTTGTTGATGTACCTCAGGAAATTCAATATCAGGGCATTTTTTGTCAAAATTGTTAGGAAGTGGCTAGCCGTACGGACCCGTACGGCTAGCCAAAAGTTCTAGCCGTACGTGAGTCACGTACGACTAGCAAGGACACACTGTATTGGCTAGCCGTACGGCATTTTCAAAATTATATGGAAGTCGAAAATGCATATGTTATTTTATGACTTTAAATGAGGATTTTAACCAAGAAACAGCAATTGTCTTCGTATGTTTACTTTGTAGAGATTAATCGCCTTGTTGGCTACAGTAAAAAAAGAACGAATATCGATCTTTGTCATCCCTTGAAAGACGTTGAGAAAAAATACGCATTTTGTCGCAGTTAAATAACATCAATTGAAATAGTTTAGAAATTTTGATAATCCTTTTTTGTTTCATCAAGTTTAATTTTCGACACCTTTAAAATGAAACAAAAAAAACGAAAATTATTGTTGTTGGGCTCTAAAATTGCGTCAATTACCGACGGTATAGAAGTTTGTTAACATAAGGAAAGTTTGCATGTTTCGTGAAACGCATTTTAAAATTCTATTGTCAGTCCCTGGGTAGGCTTTAATTAAGGCTAATTAATTGATTGTGCTTTTATGTTCGATATTTATCTACTGTATTTGAAAATTATACAATTAGAATCTATTTTGCATTTCACCGTTTTTTGTTGTTTTTTTTTCAATGTTCTTTTTATCCACTCCGATCATTATTTATTCGATCCATGATTGTGCTTAATTAACAAAAGTTCACCTTTCATACAAATAAAACAACAAAACATAATCATGAGGCATAAAATAACATATGCATGTTCGACTTCCATATAATTTTGAAAAGTGCTGTACGGCTAGACAATACAGTGAGTCCTGGCTAGTCGTACGTGACTCGCGTACGGCTAGAACTTTTGGCTAGCCGTACAGGCCCGTACGGCTAGCCACTTCCAAATTGTTAAGGGGCCTGGGCATGTTCATTTTGTGAAAAAAAAATCATGATGCGTCATGAAATTGTGGTAAAAAACTGTAAAATGAGAACAGTGAAGCTTTTATTTCAGACTTGAATTGACTTCTATTTTGTTTTATGTACATGCTATTTCAAAGTTTCAGGTGTCTTTCTTTAGTATTTTTGAAAATGTCAATGATTTGATTATAGTCCTCTTCAGGGAGTGTGTACTCTCTACAGCTTATTATCCTCATGAGTTCATCAAGATGGTATTTTCATGGGTCGAAGGTACAGGACACGATTCTGTTTAACTATAAACGGAATCTGGTGGTAGCACTTCTGCCCGGTTGTCTAGTTTTTGTTTTTTTTTTGCCGAAATTGAATAGATTTTGTTCTTGCATTTTCTGTCTTGATAATTTTTTCAAATAGTATTTCCCATTTCGTGACATATTGAAACCGGAAATGTCGCGTGATGAACGCTTGATTAATATTTCTGACTAGTCTAAAATCCGCTTTGAGCTGGTATTTTTTAACCCGGTAAACATGCGCAAATACATTTAACTCATTAAAACTATGTGTTTGCAATTGGCAAAAATCAAGTGTTACCGGAAGGTAAACAATGAATTGAGAAGGAGTACAGATTCAAAGTCCTTCTCTTTTGAAATTGTGAATTTTCTTCCGCAGCATTTTGAAAAAAAAGTGCAATTTCAAATTGTGAAGGGGCCGAACATCGGCCCCTGTTATAGAAGGAAAAAATGCCCAGAATATGGTGGTAATTTGGCTACTTTTACCCAGGATGCATCAAATCTTGGAAGATCCTGCCACATATGATAACTTGCATAAATAGAATTCCGCCAATACTGAATTTAACTATGTGCCGTCACAGTTTCTTCTCCATGTATAACGGCCTCTGAAGACGAGGGGTTAGAGTCGGGAGATGCTTTGGTAGTTTAGCGCGGAGGAAGGTAGTCTAGTACTGGTGTAACTCTCCAGGAACGATGGTTAGGAAACTACCTGCCTATATGACTGAAATACTGTTGGGAAAAGGCGTAAAATGAAACAAACAAACAAACAAATAATCTCCATGTATATTTAGCTTCATGAGGTTATCGATATGACACATTGTAAAAGTTTAGATAAAACACTTGTTAATTAAGGTTATGTAAACATTGGTATGATTTACTCATGCTGTTAGTTATAACCTGTTGAACTTGAAAATCTTTTGGTCAAATACTTGGGCCTAAAAGATTTAAATTGCAAGTGGGTAAAAAAATTGCTTGATACCCTTTAAAAATTACAGTTGTAGGCCATGGCTGGCCGTAAGGGCCCATATTGGAAGTCATATACAACTAGTCTTTATGCACTGTTGTCAGAGGCTAGCCATACAGCATTTTAAAAATACATACAGTCAAAACTGCCTTAGCAACTCCCTGATTTCAACGACTCTGTCTTATCCGACCTTGTTTCAGTCCTTCCATCATATTTTCCTATATAAATGGTCTGAATTATATGACTCCCTGTCAAATGTGACCTGAGCAAACTGGGTTAAAATTTGTGTCAGATGCCAACGGAAGATTTTTTTAGGCAACATTTTTTTTGATTTACCTTTCTATGGCTGCATTATTTACCTTTCTATGGCTGCATAAATAATACAGAAAAATGTTGATATTAAAGAGAAAAAACTTTGGGTATGGATATTTATGATATTTATTTTAAGGATTTGAATGCATCTAATTCAAGTTTATTTTGTACCATAATTAACAAGTAAATCAAGAGAAGGAGAGAATACACATCAAACATCAGGATGGTTTGTAACTGGTTTATTCTAGGATCTACCGGTTTCGGTCTTTCAAGACCTTCATCAGGATATATTTCATAGAAAAATGATTACTGAAGACCATAATTATCCAATATAAATCTAATACAAAAAATGAAATTAAATTTCATATGATATATCTACATGCGATTTTATTTGTTTTTCAGGAATTTTTTATTTTATTTACACAAAATATTTTAAGTACCTATGTGTAATTGCAATTGGTTAGATATTATTCCTTCACAAAGTTATCTATGTTATGTCACAATGGTATATATAGAAAGTACTTTAATTTTCTTTGAGACTGTTTTAAGAGACTCCCTGTCATATGTGACTTTTTCAGAAGATCCCTTGGGAAGTCACATATGACAGTCTCAACAGTAATCTGAAACAAGAATGAATATGCAAACTTGTGTAACAAAACGAAGATTTTTTTTTAATATCATGAAAAGGCTTTATCAGTTACAGTAGATATATTAATTTTTGGCCTTTGATGATCAGAAACTTTTTTTCCTCTGAAAATCACAGATTTTAATAAATTAAGTCTGTGTGAAAATACAAAGAGAAATAAACTGAAACATCATTAATTAAATCATTTTTATCGATAATACAGATCTATGTAATACACTTGTAATAAATTTTTTATCTTGGGCATTGAAAATTTCTTTTAATGATGCAGAGCAGCTGTTTTTCACAATTGTGTAAGAACACTATCGGGTCAATCACAGACTTTAATTGACTTGACATTGAAGTATGTGGGTCAATTTCCTGCAGTAGTTAGATTATAACAAAATATTTGTAATAATACTAACTTGTAAATATCACAAAATTTACATCGGCACACGAAAACTACTTAATTAAAGGTGAATTTATTTCTGATAGATCTATCTGATATCTTATCATAATATAAATGGCCGAATATCATCTGTAAAATTATTTAGAAAAAATATATGACTGTTATTATTCTTGGTAAAAATTTAATTTAAGACGTGCAAGTTACTGATTTCATCATTGCATTTAATTGTTATTTAAAAAATGCGGTGTAGCTATCTTCAACAGTGCGTATAGGCTTTGATAGCAGTATACACAGAATGTATTCCTGTGAAAGAGGATTTGCAAGACTGACATCATCATCTATAAACAATTACATCAAATTGGATGTATATAAAAGGTTTTTGAAAATTGCAAAAAGTTCATTGAAAATATTGGAACCCTGTAAGATTGCATTTCACAATAATCTTATTTGCTTTTGTCTTCTTTTACGCAGGAGACATGACTTCTCCCAGCAATGGAATATATATCATCCAGGGAGAAATCTCCCTGGTTGTTACAGCAATGAGAAGAACTTCAAGATGGAGCTCGCACTCTCAACGAGATGATGATGGAGATCCACTGTTCAGTAGCTTCTCTCAGTTAAAAGATGTTCTTAATACCATTACAGGTAAAATTTCTTTAATAAGTTACCTTTCCCTGCAAGATTGTTAGTTTGTAACTTGTAATTAGTTTGTGACAAGAAGATGCCAATTGGTTAGCAGCACTGTGCGCTATTTCATCAACTTATGCAAATACAAAGTATGTTCTTTCACGCTAGCCTTGAATTTTAGGGAGAAGTGACTGCTCCCTCCAGTGAAAATAGGGAGAAGATAGCACATTCAAATTACGTTGCAGTATTTGAGTAAGATGTGTACTGAAAAGTATTACAGCTGCATTATTAACAGAATAAAGATAGTGATGTCTTATCACTGAGCTATATGTACATGTTTTGTCATAGATAGTTTCTACCTAGGTTTCTATTCATATTTCAAAGAGACACATTTTTGGGGAGTTCACATTTATAAGTACTGGAAAGTTATTTTTTTTTATATATATAATTTTTGAGTCAATGACTGTCAATGGTAATTTAATGTGCCTGTTCAAAATATGATTCCAGATAATTTATCATATAGCCTTCCTTTTAATGATAAATTAATTATTAAAAAAGCCACAAAAACAACAGTTAAATAGCTGGAAAACTGAATTTTAAAATATCTATTATTAAGTTGGCATGTTAAACATTTAACAAATTTATCATAGCTTAAAGAAATTTGATTTTCAGACCTGGGTGAAATAGAACCAAATGCATTCTTAGGACCATTTCTTGAGGTGATACGGTCTGAAGATACCACTGGACCAATTACTGGGCTTGCTCTTACATCAGTCAATAAGTTCCTGTCTTACGGACTTGTAGGTGAGTATTATAGTTTCCAGGCTTTGTAACTGAGATATCTTTATTGAGGGGTCTAGTCTTTATTTTAAGATTCATTTGAGGGGTCAAGACCTTGGGGCAAAGTAATATGGTTACTAAATTTAAATCACTTGCATGATACATGTGTGGGTTTGAATCCAGCCACAGGGAATGAATTCTCTCATGTGCAGAAGTCTGAAGCTATCAAGCTAGCATGCTGACAGCCTTTATGGTGATTGATACACAGAGAGATATCTGGCATCTTCTACCAGCAGTGAAATGTGGAAAATCTATCCAGCTACCTTACAGAAGGTCATCTGTTCTATTTATGTGCCTGCTCGTGCCTGAAATAATTCACATATGGGGTGATTTAAGTCTTCCTTCACCAGTAGAGCAAAAAAGTCACCATATGGCTTTTAACAGTGTCATTTTGGCTTAAAATCCAACTAAACAAAGCAGAAAAAGTACTAAGTGGCCTTTTTAGTTTCTGTTTTGTTACAATTTTGTGCAGCACCCCACCTATATAAAAGATAAATTTATGCAATCCAAAAGCTTATTTATATTTATTTGAAATTTCATAATTGATCTCAAGTTAATAGATATTGGCAGGATTTCTGCTGTCATATATTTGAATCCCTAGAATAAGTTTCTGTCTGTATGTAAATACAGGTATAGTGCAGAATGATGTATGTAAATGATATGTTAATAAAATTCAGCCGCATATTTATAGTAAACTTATTTTTTTCTTAGGGACATATATTAAGATGTTTATTATTATTGTTTATTTATATGCATTAAAGCTACAGATAAAATAATTATTCTGTTACATAGATACTCTTAAAGTTGTAAAGAAAATCATGAATTTTTGGGAGGGGGTTTTGTTGGAATTTTAGTTTTCACTAATATTGCCAGACTCTGAGTTTTCATAATGAACTTTGATGTTAACTTTGACCTGTATTCCTTAACTGACATGAGTATGTTATTTTTCACAATATCAAATTAATAATCAATACAAAATATAGTCAAAAGCTTTTGTCACAGTTTGAATGTCTCACTTAACCCGACATTGCCTGTATTTTGAAATATTATTTTTAGATCCTAATTGTGATGAAGCCAGCCCTGCAATAGAGAATATTGCTGATGCTGTTACTCATGCCAGGTTTGTAGGAACAGATCCAGGTTCAGATGAGGTTGTCCTTATGAAGATCCTTCATGTAAGCATACATCTGGTTTGATTGTTGTTAACACTGAAATTGTTCATAAAACTTAGCAAAATTTAGTGAATTACATTCTAAACATTTCTTGTACCTTGATGCAGTCTTTGGAAAGTTATATATGCATATACACAATTTATACTTAATTCATAGCCAATTTACATATGTTCTTAATTTATTGCTAATTTACATCTATACTTAATTCATAACTAATTTCCCACATTTTTAACACATTCAAGAAAAAAAGGCATGTCCACAAAATAAATTTGGATTTTTGTCACTTCTATAAGGAAATTGTTTATTGCAATGAAAATTTTATGAAGTTGCAAATAAATGAGATATAGTTGTGTAATCCTTCAGTATCAATGTAGCAGAGCTAACACTTAAAATTTGTAAGTGACAAGTTTAATCCCTGTGCAAGTTGTTTCAAAATATACAAAATAGTACATAACAGTCGATACTTCACATGTACTTTACTCTCGGCATACATTATGAGAATTTACTACTTCCTACTTCTTATACACTGGTAATATTTTCCATTTTTCCAATGATGTTTCTATGAGAAATAAATATTTATAAATTGTTAATAATTTAACAACTGAACTAACTGCTATATTTCTTATATTTCTTTTTCAATTTTCAGGTTTTACGAACACTTCTGTTATGTCCAGCTGGAGTTCTGTTAACTAATGAATCTGTGTGTGAAATAATGCAGTCCTGCTTCAGAATTTGCTTTGAGATGAGATTAAGTGGTAAGATTGTATAAATGAATTAGATAATTTAATTTTGTAAAAAGGAGAATGTTTCATAACTTATATCTGTTTTGACATTGATTGATTGTGTTTTTTTGTTGTTGTTTTTTTATTTATTGATTTATTTTTGATATAAAACCACTTGCCCTCTGTGGGTTTCGTATCTGACAGGGACTCCGGATTGTTTCATGTGAGGAAGCTAGTGTATGGAAGGTCGGTGGTTCTACTCAGGTGCCTGTTTGTGCCTGAAATAATGCACGGAAGGGCACCTGAGGTCTTTTCTCCACCAGTAAATTTGGAAAGTCGCCATATAACCAAAACTGTTGGTTCAGCGTAAAACCCAAACAAAATAAGAATTTTTATATCTTTCTTAAGGCCCCTGTAATCTAGTTGTTAAGGTTACTGACTTTGGCTTTCACAGTTTAAGGATCAAATCCAGCCTGGGTCCTTAGATTCTTTCATATATAGAAGCTTTCCAGTCTACCTAACAACAGTTCACTTGTGCCTGAAATAATGTTTAATAGGCTAATGATATCTCTCGCGATCAGTGAAGCTGGAAATTTACCATACTTCTTCTCTAGTGTTTAGACTGCATCTACATAGTTGATGTAATATTAATGTAAAGAGGTGTTTGCTTCAATAATTGTTTAAGAAATTACAGGAATTAATAGTATTATGTGTAAGAAGACAATAAATAGTTATTGTTTTCATTTACATTTAGAATTATTGAGGAAGTCGGCAGAGCACACATTGATGGATATGGTCCAGCTACTGTTCACAAGATTACCCCAGTTCAAAGAAGATCCGAAATGGACGGCTAATATGAAGAAGGTACAATTTGATTAATTGTTTAATTATGGCATGATTAGCAGCTGTCACACATGTCATTTACTAGTGAATGTTAAATAAAAATATGGGATATTCCATTGTTTAGTTCTTTTTCATCATTTATTGATTTTTAGGTTGTTCTGTTCAAAGGGCTTTTAGACCTTTTCAGACTAAGAATAATGGGGAATATATACTGAGATAATTACCTTCTGTTGGTATGAATAGTCTTTCTTTTGTCAGGAAATCTATATGTTTAATTTGGCCATACAGGACTTAGTTTGTCTATCAAACTGTAGTTAAAGCTTTGACAAAACTAATAGCTTCTTAGATTTCTATTGATAATGGGTAGAGAAAGGTAAACGCTTGTTTGTAATGCTTCATTTAATGCATAGAAAACTATGTAATAAATATGTAAAAATACCTGTCCGTTGGCACAAGATGTCATCTCAAAATGTTACCAATTGACCAAGATCATAAATATGTGTTGTTTTCTACAGTTAAAGATGAGAACAGGGGGTGTTGATCAGGCAAGAATGGGTAGGAGAAAAAGATCTCCTAAACCTAAGCCCAAGAAGCTCAAACCGAGTCTGACTCAGCAAAATACACAAAGTTCCTCCCATGGCTCCTCCCAGGCTGTTTTGGCTGCTCCAGGGGACCAGACTGTGCAGCAAGGTTCTGGGTCTGACACACAAGATGGGGTAAAGGAAGGATTAGTAGAAGTAGTGAGAGAAGGGCAGAAAGAAGCTGAAATAGAACAAGCTATGAATGAAGAAATGGAAAAATCTACAGAGGTATAAATTTTTTCTTATACCTAGCTTGGAAGTTGTCTCCGTCTTTACTAGTTAATCTACATTTAATAATAGTTTGTGCTTAAAGCAAAGATCCAGTTGTAATTTCCATAGGTTTGTTAAAGAGCACATATCTGACTTTGTCATTTAAATTACACGAATCCACTTAATATTAATGTATTGACTTAATATTTCCCCATTGAAGAATTAGATAATTCATAGAATTTCAGACTTTTATGCAGATGTTACTTGCCATGAAACTTTGTACTGTTTTCATAATTTTGAAAATAAAAAATTTCCCCTTTTTTTGATCTGTTTTCATTAAACTTTTTTTGAACTTATCGATCATAAACAGGGAATTTTCCCCCCATATACAGAAGGGGGGAACGAGTTTGGGAAAGTGACGGGAAAAGTAATCCCGGGATGGCTTATGCAAGGGAAACCCGGGAAAATATAGCAACCCCAAACCCGTAGGGGCACTGGGATCATTGAATTTGTAAAAAGGGTTCCAGTATGTACAAAACTTATATCCACATTATTAAAAATAAATTGATGTATTTTTTACTTAACTTGGAAATATAACAAAGTTTTTTATTTGTCATTTTAAAAACTAAATTTTACACAAAATGTCAATAAATAAACTAATACAGTTGTAAATTAAAACAAAAATGATAATTATAATAATTATTTATTTTGTTTGTCATCATGACTGAGCCCAATACATAAACATTTTGGTTTAAGATTGTTATCTGGCTTTTTTTGGCAAAGTTTAGCCCCAAAGGAGCTCTTAGCAAATGTTAATTTTAAATGACAAATTGTTTCTATGGTTTTTATACTGATTTTAACACATTTTTGGTCATGTCTAAATGGTTGGTCCACTTAACTGACTTGCCTGGTTAACTAGACAGTAAACAATTTCTCCACAAGTGGCCAACTTATAATACCATTTGATTTCGGAATCAGTGGTCATCAATTATTTGAGAAGATTTTTACTTACCAAAGGATCAACCCAGCCACCCCTGTATTACAGATCTGATGCTCTCACTTTTGCACTAAGTAGGCAGTCACAATGAATAGTACTAGTGGTAGAGTTACATGTAGAGTATCATGTTTTCATTGAGCTAATAACTTGCTTGATGTAATAGTTGAATAATACATATATTTTACCTTTGTCACATAGAGTGCTGCTCAAGAAGATTTAGAGGTAATTGGTACTTCACAAAGTGGTGAGCTCAGTGAAGGGGTTCAACTCTGCAGGTCTGGTTCCAGCACTGATTTAAAGGTAAGACGCAAACACTTTTCAGTAGAAAAATATGTATCAAATGGTCAGTTTGATTAGATTAGATTATGAATATAAAACAAATATATGTTTGCTTTGTTTAAGATAAACTTATGAAAGAAAATCAATTCATAAGAAATTAAATTAAACCATGAACAAATAGGATAAATAAACCACATGTATATTTATATTTCAGGACCACATATTTCTGAATATTCCAAGTGAGGACAGTTTAGTGCGCTCTGCTAGTGAAGTCAGTTTACCACAGTCGGAGACCTGGGAGGAGGAGTCAGTAAATTCCCTACCATCTACTGCTGACACTTCAATACCATCGGCAACTGATGGACCAGTTACCCCTTCCACTGATACCCCAGATGCCGGTCATAATAAAGATGATTTTGTCAATCCAAGAGGTGTGAGGTTTATACCCCACCATCATCATGGACATGATGGTATGAAAGCTTTGATCATGTCATTGTTCTAACTTTGATCAAATCAACTGGATAGATAAAAATCCAATTTCTACTAAAAAATAATATATTTTTCAAAAATATTTGCATAAAAATACTCAATAAAATATCAATATCATTTGTAATGATTATCCTACTTGAAATGTATTTTTTACATTCTAAAAGCTAAACATGCTTGTGAAATAAAATATTTGAAAAAAATACCAGATAGTAAGCTACACATGTATGTTATTTTTATTTTTAAAATTAATGCAAAAAAAACAACAACATGCAACACATATTTAAAACATGACCTATTTAATTGGACAGGTTCAGGGCCTCTTATACCTTACGGTTTACCTTGTGTTCGAGAGCTGTTCCGGTTCCTAATCTCCCTCACCAACCCTCTCGACAGACACAATACAGACGTGATGATCCACATGGGCCTCAGTTTGCTTACTGTTGCCTTGGAAACCGGGGCTGATCATATAGGACACTTTGCCTCTCTTGTATATCTAGTCAAAGATGATATGTGTCGCTATCTGTTTATGGTAATATGAAATATTAGTTATTATCTTCTTTGCTTTAATTAGGTGTGGTTGAGTTACTTTCTTCTTAGCTTTAATTAGGTGTGGTTGAAAACTCTATAAAGGCTATATGACACCATTTTAACAAATTAAAAGTTATCTTTCATGATTTAAATGATAATCAACTGCCTTTGGTAAAATGATAAATTTAAAGTCAAGTTTGTTTTTAAGGTTATACACTATGTATTGATTTCTTAAAATGATAATTAAGCTTTGATCAAACTGTCTGTTAGTGAACTATTTTTATCTTTGTTCAAACTTTTAATTGATTTTTTCAGCTTGACCAATCAAATTGTTTGTAATAAAATGATTGTTATGTTCTATTTTAGCTTGTCCAATCAGACAGATTGTCTCTGTCATCAGCAGCACTACGAGTGTGTTTCCTGTTATTTGAATCAATGAGAAGTCATCTTAAACTACAGCTTGAGGTAGAACAGTAGTTTATACTTGCAGTACACATGCATTCACCCAGTGATTATCCTAGAAATATGATTTATAAAAGATTTGATATTTTATTTGTAAGGGACAAAATTAAAGCAATGGAGGTCAAGTTTAGCAAAAATGCTGTCTGTTTAAACTGCAACCAAAAAACCCTGCTAAACAATTTAGCGACACTACCGACACTACAAAAAGAACTCTTAGATTTAAATCATCAACATCATCTAAACATAGTTTGCGTATTCTGTTATTCAAATTAGGCATATTAAGTAAGAATTTTTCTTGATTTTAATATATTGTCTGCGATAAAAATAGTTTCCCCTAAAGATTAGCATAGTATATCTTTAAGAAAGCTAAATTGTTGATCAATTTCAAGTTGAAGGAATATAAGGTATAAGCCGATTATGTGTCACTGTTGCATGTTCTTGATTTTTTTCTATTATTATATTAACAGATGTATCTTACAAAGTTGACTGATGTGATAACGTCCGATCATCCTCGGATAACATATGAAGTGAGGGAACTTGCCCTTGAAGCTATTGTACAACTGTGGAGAATCCCCGGACTGGTTACGGAACTATACCTCAACTATGACTGTGACCTTTACTGTACTAATCTGTTTGAAGATCTTACAAAACTGTTATCGAAGGTAACTAATGTAATGTCATTTGTAACAGTAGATTAAACTTTTTCGAGAATTTTAGATGAAATTATGTTAGTCTGTCAAAAGAAGTATAATTTTTGTTATGTCTTGAAGTAGAAAATATATGTCTTATTTATGATTAGGGTTTTATTTTATGTTTAAATCTCAAAAAAAAATTACATTTATACAAAGTTGAAAATTGTTGAAAAGTCAACTCCAATTAAAGATTTTGTTGCATTTAAACTAAGTCAGCTTATTTATTAAGCAGCAATTACATTGTATCTGACTTTAAATGCAGTATTTATAGGCAGATATTTTACCACTAACAATAAAACCATTTTAACATATAGCTAATATTATAATATGTCAATTCCAGAATGCATTTCCTGTGTCTGGATTATTTTCCACACACCTTTTGTCATTGGATGCCCTGCTGACAGTGGTGGATAGTATTGAACAACATTGCCATAGTCGTATCCTTAAATCCACCACTAATCCAAGTCATGGCGGGGATCAAACCAAGAAAGGCACAGATTCTGGTGAAGGACCGACCACCACTGCTGAGACAGAGAAGGATGAAGGAGGAGCAACGACTTCTCAAAAAATGCAGCAAAACCAAGGTAGATATTAATCTTTTTCTCTATTTATTTTGTGTAATGTTTACTATATTTATAACTATGTTTTGTATGAAGAAAGTTTTTTGCAAGTTGTTTTTATTTTATAATCTGAATATTAGATTATATATATACATTGTCAGACATAGGTTTTTTGCTGAACTATTCAAAGAATATTGAGAGCTATTGTACTCATCCTGGTGTCTGCCTTGGTGTGGGTGTCACTGTCACACTTAATTTAAGTTGTTACCTCCAAAACAACTGAAACTTCACACACTTCTTTGAGAGCATCATAGGAGGTCACTCTTTAAGGCCCATAACACTAACATAGAGTTTGACTGAATTCTAGCCCTTTTCTGAACTTGGGAAATTCTACATTATCCAAACTCTTGTTTTACTGTTAAGCACTGAGAATAGTCGAGAACACTGTCCTACTGACAGCTCTTGTTCTAAGAATTATTTTATTATATCTGAATATGTGTTATATGTATAATGGTCTGTATTCATAGAGAATAAAAGTGGTAGCAAGTTACGAGATACAAGAAAAGGTCCATTCATCAAACCCAATAGAATGAAGGTGACTAGTGATTTACCAACACAGGAAGAACTTTATGCACTTAAACAAAGAAAACGGGTAAGACTTATTATTATATATGTCAAATTTATTATTTTACATTTAAATGATCATTTGAACTAAATATCTTACTGAATATTTTTTTTTATTGCTTTTCAAAATCCAAATTAGCCAGGAGCCTTGCCTTAAATTTAATTATCTTAGATTGCCTAAGTGTATTAGATGATTTATGAGTTAAGATATGTTGAAGCATGTACTGTCTATATGACTGGTTAAAGTTTTAGCATGTTAAAGGCAACAGATTCTGCCCATGTACCTAGTGCAGACCAAGAACAGCCAGCACATCTGTGCCATCTGACCATGGTCTGAACCATTTGCTATTCGAATAGTCAGTTCATATTTTGAAGTTTTCATTGAATTATTGGTACTCAAATTTTACTTAATCCATTGTTACAAACAAAAATATCTCATTTTATATGATCACTGTATGTCAGAATAATTTTATTTAGAAAAATTAACAATTTTAGTATTTCATGATGTGGATACAACTTGTGTTTTATAATATTTTTGCTAAAAAGGGTGAACTTCTGTCTAATGAAATGTGAAATTTTCTCATATGTAGGTGTACCAAACTGGGACGGAATATTTCAACCAGAAGCCAGCTAAAGGTATAGCATACCTGCAGGAGCAAGGTATGTTGTCTGATCCTTTAGACCCAGAAGAGGTTGTCAACTTTATCAAAGAGAATCCAAAAATAGAGAAGAAGATGTTAGGAGAATATATTACAAAAAGGAACAACAGCAAGTTATTGGAAGTGTTTGTCAAGTAAGTTTTTTTTTATCAGTATAGGAGTTTTATTACTTATTTAACATTTTGATTTCTTTTATTTTTCTTATACTAGACACATTTCATGATGTACACTTTATAAAGATTTCTTCAGCTAAATGCAGAGTTTGTGCCTGAAATAATGCACAAAAGAGCACCTGTGGTTTTCCTCTACCAGTAAAGCTGAAAAGTCGCCATATGACCTATACTGTGTTGGTACAACGTAAAACCCATCAAAAAAATGCAGTGTAACCTCTGCAAAAAGCAGCTGTTTGTAGAGAAAAATAACACTTTTTCAATTCATTTCTTCAAAAAGTAATATTTCACAATAAATTTATCCTTTCTAGAGCAATACCTCTCTTCAACATCCAAAATCTTTATCTCCAAATCGGTGTGTTGTTCTGCAGAGGTTGTACTTTAACTGTTTTTTAGCTCGACTTTTCTATGAAAAGGGGAGCTATCCTACTCGCCCCGGCGTCGGCGTCGGCGTTAGCGTTGGTTAAGTTTTTCGTACCACCCCACTTTATTTCAGAAGTATTACAAGTATGGCTTTGAAACTTACCATACTTGTTCACCATCATAACCTCCATCTACAGACAAGAGTACATAACTCTGTCAAGGTTTTTGACAGAATTATGGCCCTTTTTTGACTTAGAAAGTGTATTGAGCTTGGTTAAGTTTTTTGTACCACCTCACTTTATTTCAAAAACCATTGGAGGTATTGCTTTGAAACTGACCATACTTGTTTACCATCACGACCTTCATCAACAGACAAGAGGACATAACTCTGTCAAGGTTTTTGACAGAATTATGCCCCTTTTTACTTAGAAAATACATTGAATATGGGTAAAATCCACTTATTGCCTTAACCCTTTGAGATATTGCTTTGAAACTTTTAATGCTATTTCACATCATTACCCCCATCTGTACGCAAGAGAAGGTAACTCTGTCAAGGATTTGTTTTAAAAATTAAGGCCTTTTATCGACTTAGAATCTTGGTTAAGTTTTTAGTACCAGTCCACTTTTTGACTGAACTGTTTGAGATATTAATTTGAAAGTTGGAATACTTGTTTACAATCATGATTCCCAAACATGTCCAGGAGAAGGTAATTCTGTCAAAGATTTTATTTGAATTATGGCCCTTAACTGTCAATGTTTTGTATTATAGGCAAGCACTAAAAAACTTAAAAAATCTAAAAAAATTCATTCCTATCCACTTGTTCACTTTACCATAAATTATGTCATATAAACATTGCTGTAATATTCAAGGGTATCAAACAACTAGTTATTTTTCTCTTTTTGTACTTGAAATTAAAATCAGTAGTATAATACTATTAAATTTATTTAAGGCTCAACTCAGTTTTTTTTTCTTTCTTACCAGCCCTCTTTTGACTTAAACATTTCAAACTTTGCTGCAGTGTTCAAGGGTATCACACAATTCAGTAAAATAATTCTTCACTAAATATCTTAATGCTCATGGCCATTGTTCACTTTAAAAATACAGAGATTCTTGTATTGCCTTTTACTGCAAAAACTTTTTTTATTGGCAAGCAATAAAAAAGTCGAGCGCGCTGTCTTACGGACAGCTCTTGTTGTAATCTGTCTTTCAATATACCTTGTGCAGAAAATATATCCTGTATGGAATATATACCCTGTATGGAAAATATACCCTGTACAGAATATATACCCTGTACAGAATATATACCCTGTCTGGAAAATATACCCTGTACAGAAAATATACCCTGTACAGAATATATACCCTATACGAAATATATACCCTGTACGGAATATATACCCTGTATGGAATATATACCCTGTACAGAAAATATACCCTGTACGGATAATATACCCTGTACTAACAGTGGTAACTGCACATTTCAGATCATTCCATTTTGAAGACCTGCGTATAGATGAAGCATTGCGTCAGTATTTGGAAGCTTTCAGACTGCCAGGGGAAGCCCCTGTAATCTCATTGGTCATGGAACATTTTGCTGACCATTGGCATGTATGTATAGTGTTACTCATTAAATTCCAATTTATGTAGGATGATATTATGCTCGAAAGCTATCTTAAATAATGACCAAAGGTTAATAATTATACCTAGGTGCCTGTTTGTGCCTGTGATTTCTCAAGATAATAGGAGAAAGACCATTTTAAATGGCAGTGTTGATTTAACTTAAATATCATTTTTAGGAATGTATATGTCACCAACACTAACAATACAATTTATGTCGTAGTATTACAAAAAAGGACAATCCTGGAGTACCTTTTCAAAAAAGTTTTTGCCCAAAAAATTGGACTCACTATTTGAGTCAAAAGAAGAAAGGAGAATTTCGTTATTTATTTATTAACATTATTTATTCATTAATATTTTAATTTTGACTGTTACTTTTTTGCAGAAATCGAACGGAGAGCCTTTTCACAATGCTGATGCAGCGTTCACATTGGGTTATGCTATTATAATGTTAAATGTTGATCAACATAATCATAATGTGAAGAAACAAAATATTCCAATGACTGTGGAGGTAAGCTGACATTCTCTGTGGTCATTTCTTATCTGATTTAACTCATTACAGGACTGGAGCAGTACCTCTAGACGCTTGCAGAAATCATGATTACAAAATAGACAAATATCGTTTTTTTAGCCGATTATTACATTTTTCATTATCATACATAAATCAGTGTGAAAAGATGAATTAGACTTTTCAAAGTTCATTCCGTTGTGTAAAGTAAGGTAAAAAGGCAAGATTTTAGCATTTTATCATTCAAGTGCCTTGTCTGGTATAAACCAGAATACGGCATTTAGTGTGGTGCTCCAATCCTTTTTTTAGTCTCACACTTTCTTATCTATCAGACATTGAGCATGATCCAGTACGATTATACATAACCCTTAGCCTACTGGCAGCAACAGATTCTACCCATGCAAGCAGTGCAGACCAACATCAACCAGCACATCCATGCTCTCTGTTCATGGTCTGCACTGTTTGCTATTGCTATATTTGAGTTATTTAGCATGGTAAGAGATGGTTATAGGAATTGACATACTCTGCTTTTGATGTTGAACGTTTCATTATGAACCTAAGAGATTTCTATATAAAAATTCTAAATTTTTACTTTTTACAGATAAAATATGTGACTTAATTATCAAAATGTTTTAGATTGTGTAACTAGACTGGCTATATTGGTGGCATAATAAAACAATGACATAAACAAGCTTGATGTTTTACAGGAGTTTCAAGAAAAATCTTACAAAGACAAAATGGTGGTGAAGACTTTGAGAGTGAAATGCTGGTAGAAATTTATAATGCCATCAAGTAAGTTTACCCAAAATATCATTTACTTTCAGTGTTATTTTAAAATTTCTGAAAAGAAATATTTATAGTATAAGTGGTAAGAAAAGATGTTATTTTGTTAAATCTTTATATTGAGAGTGAAATTTGAAAGATCAGCACATATTATAGAACAGATACGATTTATTTTAAATTTCAAGCAACACAAAAAAATGGGTTACCGTTAAGGTTGTCAATAGTAACAAAAAGACTTCTAATAAGAACATGTATGATATTAATTGTGACCATTCATGAATTGCATTAAGGCCTGCATGATGGAAACAACACTCGTTTCATGTTGTTAATATTTTTTTAATAAGTTTGTGGCTTTGTCGTGTCTTCCAGGACGGATGAAATTGTCATGCCATCAGAACACACGGGTCTAGTTAGAGAAAATTACTTGTGGAAGGTAAATTTATATTTTGTAAATGCACTTACTGTTTAACATGATATATCTAAATAATGGATTGTTCCAGTTTTGTATATGCAACTTTGTATTTTCAAGAGATGTCTTTAAAATGTGAAGAAAAAAAAAAGCAGTTAACAATTTACAGTCTGATTAAACATCACAGATACTATTTGACATATTTTACACACAACATTTTACATTTAAGGTGTTATTAAAAAGAGGCAATACAAAAGAGGGTTTATTTACCCATGCCCCCACGGGAGCTTTCGACCATGACCTATTTACACTGATCTGGGGACCAACAGTAGCAGCTCTGTCATTTGTGTTTGACAAATCAACATCAGATGAATCTATCATCTCAAAGGCAATATCAGGCTTCAGGTAGGAGAGAGATGGATCTAATGTTAATATTGAATGAGAGAGGTGGATCTAATGTTAATATTGAATGAGAGAGGTGGATCTAATGTTAATATTGAATGAGAGAGGTGGATCTAATGTTAATATTGAATGAGAGAGGTGGATCTAATTATAATATTGAATGAGAGAGGTGGAATCTAATGTTAATATTGAATGAGAAGAGATTGATCTAATGTTATATATTGAATGAGAGAGGTGGATCTAATTATAAT